GGGCGAGGGAGGGGATCCTGCCCCTCTGCTCAGCTCTGGTGAGGCCGCACCTGGAGTAGTGGGGGCAGTTCTGGGCTCCCCAGGACAAGAGGGACGTGGAGCTTCAAGACGGGGTCCAGCATAGGGCCACGAAGATGATTAAGGGACTGGAGCATCTATCGTATGAGGAAAGACTAAGTGAGCGAGGCCTGTTTAGCCTGGAGAAGATTGAGAGGGGTTCTTATCAACATGTACATATACCTGAGGGGAGAATGTAAAGAGGATGGGGCCAAATTCTTTTCAGTGGTGGCCAGCAACAAGATGAGGGGTAATGGGTACAAACTGAAACACAGGAAGTTCCATCTCCGTATGAGGGACGTATTTACTGTTAGGGTGGCAGAGCATCGGAACAGGCTGCCCATAGAAGTTGTGGAGTCTCCTCCTTTGGAGATATTCAAAAACCTGCCTGGATGCCACCCTGTGCCACATGCTCCTGCCTGAGCAGAGGGGGTTGGACTAGATGATCTCTAGAGGTCCCTTCCATCCTCCACCATTCTGTGATTCTGTAAATTCTTCACATCCATGAGAAGCAGTATGGCCAAAAATGTATTCAGAAAGTAATTTATGAACAATTCCCCCACTTTTCCACAAGTCAGAGAACTAAGGTTTTGAAGATGATTTAGTTGTGTGTGAGTATCGTTAAAACAAAACAAAAAGCCCAGCAAGCCTAATTCTTATTACGAATCAAATAATTTGCAAGCTAATATCTGTACTTAGTGATTATTACTAGAATTTTGTACATCCATGACAGATAAACGATCACTGCTGCTTTTCAAAGGGAGAAGCGAATTATCTTATACATCTTTCACTAAGCAATTCACCTCTGCACCTGCTGAAGTGTTTATGGTAGTTTAATTGGTCTCTTCTGTCCTCCCTCTGAAATTCCCTGCAACAGGTAAAAAAAACATTCCTGTTTTGCAGTCTTCTCAGAGCAACTCTGAGGAACGTGGAATAAATGTTCTGTCATATATTTTACAAATACAAGCATTCTGTGATTCTTGCATAGACCTTATTCTCTGGTATTTCAAGTCTCAAGAACACCCACTTAGGTATAGAAGTGAAAAAAACGATCTGAAGTTACTCAAAATACAGTTCTTTGCAATCATTTTTTATAATATCAGATTCATCTCAACCCTAAACCTATATAGTAAAGGTGGTAAGGCTGTTGTTTCAAGCATCAAGATTTCCATTTTTATTGCAACTACCTAATGGTATTTGCATGATTCCCATTGCCTTTGGTAGTAACTTTGATTGAAATTTCTATATGGTTATGTGCAGGAATCAAGGGAAATGACTTTCCATTAACTGGATTTCTCTTTAAGATACTGTTTTCTGTTGCTTTAGAAATGCATAACTACTGCCATTTGTCACATGTAATTAAGAGTTGAAATTCTAATTGTTTACAAACATTGGACAACATGTAAATAAACAGCTTATAACTTTACTATATCAACTCCTATACAAGCGCAGTAGCATTATAGCAATAGTAGCACTGTAAGTGGAAGAACAAGGAGTTACCAGGTGCTTTTTTTTTCCACAGTAGATAGCCCCTGGAAATTCACAAATAAAACAATTTTGTACATTCATTTTTAGGCATCCATTCTCCATGTAATGTTTTGGTCTTTCACCGACTTGATAGTAACCTTTATCAAGATTCTTAAACAGCCTGATATCTTGATTTCTTTTTCTTCTGCAAAACAGCTAAAATAATTATGAACTGGAACATCAATAAAACCAATTAATGTTTTCGGGGACTAATATTTTTTAGAGACTAACATCAAAAAAATCCACAAGTCTCTGCAAACTTGAACTATTGCTATTTTCTTTAAATTTGGGGAAGTATTTCCTCTTTTTTAATTAAGGTTCTCTCTATAGTGAGATAAATAACTAAATTGAGGTTAAAATACTGTCATATTGAGACTTAGATATCAAATCAAAATATTTCTTCTATCTATCTCCTTAAGAGAAGGGAATCGCATGCCCCATCATCAGTTGTTTCTAAACAAATACTACATATACAGCAAATTTTAACAAGTGAATTAGGTCTTAATAAAGCCTCATTTTTCCTAACTCTAAATAAAGACATTGTAAAAAATGAAGACTTTAAGCAAGTTGTAGGCATACTGGTCCTTCCTCAAGATAAGCAAGTACTTCATCCCACAGTTTCTGGTTCATACAGTCTTCTTTAATCAGCCACTGCTGTTGCTGGGTCAGTTGAAAAGCCTCTCCTTTCCCTCCATCTCCCATTCTCATGGCTTTGGATATATTTGTAGGTTCCTCTATACCTGTTTAAAATTATGACAAGATACAGTAACAGTGGTAGTCTGAACTAGTAAAAAGAGAAGACAATTTTTTTTTCCTAGAAGGCTAAAACATGAATCGCATCTATATAATGCTGCAATGAAGCTCCAATTCTCATTGTTCAGCTTTATTTAGACTATAGCACAAAACTATATATGACTGTTCATTTTTCCATGGCGTTTAAGGAACCTTATGACTACTGAACTCAGTGTTTTCATACCAATTACTCAATATACCTAACTTGACAGAGCTCTAATGATAAAAAGTCAAAAGAAATACCATCATCAATTGTCCTTTTCTGGTTTCCATTACTCTGGCTGGTTGGCTCCTGTTTCACAGTTTGCTTCTTAACCTTATCTTTTTTCTCTTTACTAGCCATGGCTTCTAAATAACCTTCTGGATACTAAAAAACAAAAACAAAAACAAAACAGATTTAAAATAGAAACCAAATACCAACTAAATTCTAAAGGAATTGAATTACTTTTAAAAATCCTATATAAACAAGAAAGCTTTAAAATTAATATCCATTTTTAGAAAAGTGTAGTTAAGTGAAAAAATGAACTAGAATGGATTTTATTAAAAGAAACCTTATATTGATATCTACATCCCTCCAACTACACAAGTCAGAAAGCTAAAGTTGAAGATGATGTCATGTAGCAAAATAACCCAACCAAAGGAAAAGACTGGTTTGCTGAGAAAAATACTACTTTGATTCCTCCCATCTTCCCAAATTTCACAACACTGAAGTCCCCACAGGTTAGTTTTACCTCTCTGCCTGAAATATGTTATCTAGCTTTTCAATCATAGATTACAAGCAGAGAAAAATATATGAAAACTTATATTTTTCTACATTCTAGAAGAAACTCTACTACGTGAATTACATTTATAAATCTTATCAAGTGTAAGGATCACAGAACTGTATTCAAAGTAATAATTTTCTGATCCATAAATAGAGTAATTCACTGTTAAGGCAGAAAGGCTCATCAATAATTGCAGGGTTCTTCAATTTACAGATTATCTAAAATATTTTTTGATCTTAGACCCTGCCTCAGTGAATGAAAATAGGTCTTAAATTTAATTCAGATTCCTAGTTTTAAAATTTAAGACTCCATTTACTTGAACAGAATATCAGAGCAACTCTGTGAACACAGATTCTGACCTGTACACTCAGCCCCAGTTTCTTTGACCGTTCCATCCCTTCTGAAGTCCAAGGGGCAGGTTCAATATCATCTCTTCTCAGAAGATAGCGCCAAACTAAGAATCCACATTTTCCAATTTCTGGCCAATATTTTACCACCTAAGGATAAGTAACAACAATTTTATGTTTTAACTATAACTCTAGATCCTCAAATCTAATTTAAGAAAATTCCAAATATTCAACAGACATTCTGCTAGGTTGTCATCATTTTACCACAAACCAAACACATGCAGGTAGTCATACTTTATTGGCTCAAAGCAAAGAGAGAAATTTTGAATTATATGTTACTGTTTTAAAGCATCTCCTCTCTCAGTTGGGAAACTGAAAAGATTGTAGTTTTGATAAATACAATACTGTTTTAAAAGATGCACATCTTTATTTGAGATACTGAGAAGACATTAAGTGTATGAAAAGCCAAAAAGGAAGGAGTGCAGAAATCAGTTGATTTCCAGGGATGAATATGACTCATCAGGCACACATAAAAATAGTTTATATATTCAACTTGATATATCCTATTATAGATTGTGTTCTATTATCACTACTCTGAATACTTTCATTTCATTTCACTACAGAATGAGGTAGGCTAAACCATCCTCACAGTAACAGAAGAATCGTTCTTTCAAAAGCAATAACAAAGATTTTGCTATGTAACACACCAAAAAAATCTTTGAAAAAAAAGTATTGAGAAAAATATAATGCTATATATGCAGTAGAAATCACATTACCTTGTAAATGCCATCATATCTATTGCCTTCCTCTGGAGCATATTTGCTGATCCGTCGTCCTTTTGAACTGCGCACTACTCGGACTGGGTTGCCAGCTCTCCAATTCTTAGACTCTGCTCCATTTTTATCATCCAATGGGGCATCACAGTTCAGGGCCAATGCTCTGAAAAACACACAAAAATCTTCATAAAACAGATTGCTTCATACAGCATAAAATGAATGAAAAATTATGAAAAACAATGTGACAAGATCAAATTTATCTTGTCTAATTCTGTTTTATCAAGAAGAAGAATTTCCAGTGAATTCTTCAAGAGACTGCAATACTGTGGGAAGCATTGAGATCAACTCTACCACATGAGAAAAAATAGGAATACCATATATTTAATTCCAAATGTTCATAATGAAAACTCAGCTAATATAGTTAAGTAAAACAAACCAATACCTTTGAAGTTTAATGTTTTAAATTTTAAGAATAGAAGGAATTTAAAAAGCTTTGACAATGACATTTTTTCCTTCTCACTATTCCACATTACTGCAGATTTTTAGGCTTTTTAAGTGTATATGAATCCATAAACATCATGAAAAGTAACATATGGAAAAATGTACACACACTGACTATTCAAAAAGATATCTGTAATGATCATTACTCTTCTTAGTCCATAAACTGGCTAAGATTAGAAGTTATATGACATTAACTTAATTCAGAGACAAGGAAACCATAACGCTCTTTTCTATATACCTAATCCCTTTCTTTCCAAATCTAGAAGAATATAGATGGATCATCAAAGATACACAAAAGTAAATACCACAGTAAGGTTTATTCTTGTTTAGTTGCAGCATCTCCCACATTTACATGTTAGCCCTAAGAATGAATTTATTTTTATACAGTAGAGAACCATTAAGTAATGGTATTTATATCATCTAACTTTAGGTATCTGGAGCATACAATAAATGGGCAGAAATAAGCTCTAGTTTGCTCTGAGTCTCTCTTGAAATACTTACTTCTATCCACTAACTATATAGGTGCCCTATTTTAGACACTTGGAGTAAGATAGTATGAATTCTGCCCTGACTAAACAATTTTAGCAGAAAATATTTTTATAACCATATATTGATTTAAGTATGGATGAGCAAAATCTACAGACCATATTATACAGAAAAGTAAGGAAATGTGAAGTGATGCAGTTTTTCTAAATGATTCTTTTGTAAAGATAAAATAAATGATCTGGATAAATAAAAACACTGTTCTCATTCTTTTACATGGAACCTTACTAACCTCCTGCTTCAATCATCACAAGTATTCAGAACATTAGACCCAGAGCAAAGACTACTACCATTCAATCAAAATGGATAATTGGTAGCACCATGTTATACTTCATGCAGATCAACTGCTACAGTGCAACAAGACTGCCAGTCTTGGTTTTTTTTGCCAGTGGATTTCACAACTATTTGCTAAGAGAAGAGGAATGACAAGACTAAGGAGCCTAGGTTTTATTCCAGGCGCCAATAAAAAAAATTGTTTTAATAATTAAAAGCCATTATAAACCTGCTGCCCCAATCCATTTTTCTCTCTCTCCCTTACACACTCTTGTTCTTGTTTCATCCTCTATTTCCTCATTCCTCAATATCCATGTCTGGCTTTTCCTCTTTCACCTCTAAGTACCAGCAGAAAGTCTGAAAGAATTCCTCCCCACTAAATTCTGGTGTTTGACAGCAACACATCACATCCAATGACAAATCTGTCAGAGAAAGCCCCAGTCAACCTGTCTAAAATATTATTTTTATTTATTTCTATTTATACTGGGGTAAAATATTATTTTTAAATTAAAGGAATGTTAAATTAAAGGAATCTAACTCAACTCTTTGGTCTGGAACATTTTGTTTTTAATTTAACCTTCAAAACTTACCTATTCATGTGTGTTAATGTTTGATCAAACGAATGTTCGCCAATTCTTTTATTGCCAGAAAGATCTCTACCTCCACTTCCAGTATAAGTGAATTCATCTCCTCGGTCCTGTGCAAGAAGATTATCCACCATGTTAACATTCCGAATTCAAGCATTTGAACTGAAAAACCTCCTCCTTCATTGGTTCTAGTTACTCTACCAAAAACAAATGTCTGAGGCAAAGAACTTTCAGTTGAAACTTTCGATTTCAACTTCATTCTCCTTTCAGAGCAACTGTGCCAGCAAAAAAAAAAAAAAAAAAAAAAAAGATCCAGGTGGAGCATATTCATCAGAAAGATTATAAAAACATATCTACCTTACAAATTTATTTATAAATAATAAGACCCTGCTAATAGAATGTGCAGATCACAGAAATTTGACTGGAATAGTAATAACACGAAAAGGGCTCTCACATGGACTGAACTGTATTTGCTTGGTAAATTGAGCCCATTTGAACAAACTGTATTTTAACATTGAACAAGAAGCATGTGACAAACTCATAAAATGCAAAGGCCCATCCTGAAAAGTCATGAATCCAAGAGGATATGGGTTTCATAACAAACAAGAAAACTGAACATGCGCTCACAGTGCAGCAGTGTGGCCAAAAAGGCTAATGCAGTCTGCTGATGGAAGTAAGCAGAAACTGGAAAGTGTGTTTTTACCTCTTTTACAGTACTGCTATAACAAGTATTGGAATAGCATATTTAAAAGGATGTCAAAAATGGAGGAAAAGGGGGGGGGAAAAAGGAAACAAATGAACAAAATTGGAGAAACTCACAAAAGACAAAGGTTATAGTGTGTTTAGTTTAGCAAAAAAGAGTATGTACAAATATCTTCATGAAGAGGAAATACTGAATGCAAAAAGAGTTATCTAACAGACAAACATAAATCAAGGAGAAATGGCTAGAGGCTTAAGCCAAGCAAATTCAAATAAGAAGGCACACATCACTGTATTCAGTGTAACCACTAGACTAAATTTCCATAGGAACCAGGACATTCTCAAACTCTTAATGTCTTCAAAGTAAGACTAAATGACTCGAAGATATTCTTTACCCAAAGCAATATTTTAGTCACAAGTTATTGGGTATATCGTTATAGAGCAAATAACCAAAGGATGGCATCCCTTGACAATTTTCAGTATAACAGCACCCCTTATCTCATTTCTGCTCTCATCTTCTCATGCCAATGTAATGACTTACTTAATACACACCTCTCCTCCCCAAATAACTGTGGGGAAAGATGACACAGTTCCTGGAATAGGAAGAAAACAGGACTCATGAGCAACTTAAACAGAGCCCTCACCATATTAAAGAACAACAGGGGTGCTGATTTGGAGAAAGGGGGAAAATGGAAAGGACATTGAACCATATAAGGTGAAATAGGATATGCAAATAGGAACTCCCAGAATAGGGAGAGGGAGAAAGACCAGAAGAATATGTAATTACTAGCAGGGAGAGAAAGAAGCCTAGATTGGCGAGAAAGTCATTAGAGTAAGTTAAGTATGGGCGTAAATACAGCTTGTGGCTTGCAGGAATGATACTGGCATAGTAGGGAGGAGGAATGGAGGACATAGAGAACCTACCTCCGCAGCAGTTAATTCATTTTACTTTGAAATTGGAGTATGCCAGGAATATATACGCAGCCAACTACTAAGGATCTGCTGATGGGTAGTGAAGAGTTATGATCCTTCCTATAGACAATTCAGGATTTTTCTATCAACCTCTATAATGTTCAAGTAACAGCCTGCATGTGAAAGGTGAGGGTCGAAGGCTGCTTAAATCTTAACAGGCTCAAAGGGCAGAGCTCGGGATACTGATACTGCTGTAAAAAATCTGTATTGGACAGGCAAATTAAAAACTGAAAAAGGTGACATTCAGCAAAGGGAATTTGTTAGTGCTATCTGCATTTCAACTGTTTGTGAGAGGCCCGAAGTCCCTCTTTAAAAACAATGCAATTGAACACATTCTTATATTTCCTTCCTTCCTTTCTTTCCTACCTTAAGATAGGTAATTTTCTCCTATTTCTCTTCTGCTTTCTAAACCTTGTTTTCACTTCCTTGTACCAAAACATTTTGTCAGCAGCTAACACGACTTTTTGGTATTGTCTCTTCCCTTAATCCCTTCTGTCTTTCTTTCTTTATGCTGTCTCCATAAAATTATTTCTTAACTGTCCTGCTTGTAAAGTTTTAGACCAAATGTGTTACTTCTCTGTATATCTCAATAGAAGCAGTAACCTAGATGTTAGAGATGTGAGTTATTTTTTCAAAGGAGTGCCTCAACAAGCTACTCAGCCTCAAACATACAATATAGAGAATGCAAGATACTCACAAACTAAGATTACATTAAATCACATTTCTCTATTTCAATGATGGTTCAACTATTGTATAGCCAGTTTTGAATCTAACAAATAATAGAGAATCAAAGAGTAAAACTTTCAATACATTTATATAGCATCTAGATCCAAATGGATCCAGACTGGATCCAAATGACATAGCTGGATCCAATCCACACTGGATCCAAATGACATAGCTGGCATGTCTAGCTAGCAAAGACACATATCATACATACCATTTTTACTATCAGTTTACCCAGATCTTTGGATACAACAAGAGCTGACTCAAATCTGAAGCTCTTACTGCCACTTCATTTATATTTAAAACTATTTCAACAAGCAATTCATCAGTAATGGCACTGCATGTTTGGCACTGGTGGACTTGATCTAGTATTTTAATTGAGCAATGAACATAAAGCAATGGTTCAGAAGTGCTGGATCCTCATCATAAGCCCTAGATAAATCTAGAGATCTGAATATCTATGTTGTAATTGGACAATTTCAAGCAAGTAGAACACAAGCACACTGACAATTTGAAACTGACTACCCAAACACAAGATTGATGTGGATACACAGATCATACAAAAAGGACAGTGGACTGTTTCATAAAATAGCTCATTAATGCCACATTCCAGGCACTATATTTGGTTGACCTAGATAAATCAAAGAATCTAAGCAACAAGTATATTAGCTCAGAGTTCCTTCTGAGTCATTAGAAGTCATGTACACATACATACATGGCCTCGGAAACTTCCATAAGAGGAGCAATCAGAGCAGATAGTATTCTTCAAGAGATTCATAGAATCAAAGAATCATAGAATG